CCAAACCAACACAAACCTCCCCAGTCCAGCACAAAACTCCCCAATTCAGCACAAAACTCCCCAGTCCAGCACAAAACCCCCCAATCCAGCACAAAACCCCCCAATCCAGCACAAAACCCCCCAATCCAGCACAAAACTCCCCAATCCAGCACAAAACTCCCCAGTCCAGCACAAAACTCCCCAATCCAGCACAAAACTCCCCAATCCAGCACAAAACTCCCCAATTCAGCACAAAACTCCCCAGTCCAGCACAAAACCCCCCAATCCATCACAAAACCCCTCAATCCAGCCCCCAAACCCGCTGAATGTCTCAAGCAGCCTTGCAAAGCTGGCCAGGGAAGAAAGGAAAGGACTCGGGGAGCTGTCACTGCTTAGAAACTCTGCTCCCTTCTTTCCTCATCTGCCAGAACTCTTGCAGTAAATCAGGGAATGTCCCAGCACGGCACTCCGGCTGCCAGCCCGAGGCGCTCCACTTGTGCTTTTGTCTCCGTTCCTGCTCTCCTCTTTGCTCCCCGTGGCCTTTGCCGGGAAGTTTTGGGTACGGATTTTGTCAGGAGTGCGTCAGCAGCGCTCTCCCAGAGCCCCGTTCCGGGCTGGGATGGATTGCAGGCGGAGGCTGGGAGATGCAGGTGGGTGCTGAGTGCTCTGCCTCTGACGTGGCATTTCCAGGAACAGCGGCGGAATTGTCCCGTTTTGGCTGCAATTCCCGCGGCTTTTTCACCTCTTGTGGTTTTGGGGCGTTTGGGAATCCTCCAGGCCGCCGTGGTGGTGCCAGCCCCGGGGCAGGGCGAGGGGCTCTGCTCCCAGTGCCAGCAGTGCTGCTCCGAGGATGGGTGCCAGCCAGGGAGGGCTGCAGGTCACCGAGCTGCCCCACAGCTCGGTAGGAAAAGGAATGGCTTGGGGCAGAATTCCTGCCCCCTCCCTGCAGCGTCCAAGCGAGTTTGCAGCTCCGCAGCTGCAGATGCTGCACAGCTGCAGATGCTGCACAGCTGCAGATACTGCACAGCAGGAAGCATCCCGGGCGCTGTGTCACCACAACACGCCGAGGGACAGAGCAGTCTGTGCTTCTGCATCCCTGGCCAGGGTCCTGCGTGCCCTGCAAGGACAAGGAGCCCCCCTGAGCTCAACCACAGCTTGAAGCTGTCCCCAAGCACCCCCCGTGCCTCCCCCGGGGCTGCAGGATGGGTAACCCGCCCTGCTCCGAACCCTGGGGTCTGCAGAGAGCAGGCACGGAAGAGCAGAGGGGCTGTCCGAGGTGGCAGCGCTGCCAGCACAGCTCTCCCCGTGCCCAGGCAGCCCGGCCCGGCCGCTCCGACAGGGAGCATCCCTGCTCCGTGCCCAGGCAGCCCGGCCGCTCCGACAGGGAGCATCCCTGCTCCGTGCCCAGGCAGCCCGGCTGCTCCGACAGGGAGCATCCCTGCTCCGTGCACGGCCGCTCCGACAGGGAGCATCCCTGCTCCGTGCCCAGGCAGCCCGGCTGCTCCGACAGGGAGCATCCCTGCTCCGTGCACGGCCGCCGCCGCAGGCAGGCGGGAGGAAGGAGCGATGCTCGTGGGAGCAGCGCGGTAGAAATCCTCACTACGGTGGCATCCTCACCCAGCGCCTGCCCGGCTCTGCCTGCAGGAAACATCCCAGGGAATGTTTGCTCCTGGCTCAGTGCAGCAGGAGAAGCGCTCAGGTGTGTGGCAAACACATTTCGCTCCCTCTCAGGATTTTTCATAGAGGTGCACAGAGAGAAATGAAAGAGAAAACAATTTATATTTCTGCTCCTTGTTTTTCCCATGTGGAATGTGTGTGGAGAATTGTTTACCTGGGGTGAGTGCTTGATTGGATTCTGGTGAGGATTGTTTGAGCCTGGTGCCCAATCCAACATGCCTGGGGCTGGGCTCTCAGAGAGGGTCAGGAGTTGTGGGAGAGTTAGAGCAAGTAGTATGTAGTTTTAGTATCTCCCTTTTAATATATTAATGTATTTTAGCATAGTTATAATAAGGAAATAATTCAGCCTTCTGAACTGAGTCAGACATCAGCATTCCTTCCCATTGGGCTCACCTGCATTTCCAATAGAGGTGAGCCCAGGTGAGGCCGTGCTTGGGCACTCCAGAGGGTCAGGACAGGGCTCACTGCAGCTCAGCAGGAAAACTCAGAGCTAAATCCCCTCAGCTCAGCCCAGGCGCTGCCGTGGAGCCCCAAAAGCTGCGCAGGGAGGAGAGGGAGGCTGGCTCCAGCCATCCCTCTTGTCATAAATCAATGCTGCTATGTAATAATTAAAGAATTTTATTAAATGATCAAAATATAAATTTAAAAAAAGAAAGCCACAAGTGATTCGATTCTGGGCCAGATGATCAGTGTTGGAGAGACTCAGGATTTGGCCTCTGTCACACCAAAGTCCCCGTGGGTCTCTCAGGGTCAGTTCTGAAGGGTCCATTTTTATGCAGCCTCTCAGGCTTTGGAAGGGGTCTTCTTTAGCATATTATTGTGCTTTCCCAGAACTGGTGGAAAATCGCTGGAATCCTGTCAGGTGAAAATCTCCAGGATAAGCTTCTGATGGTGCCTATTAAAAAATGTCTCCAGCTGGGGTCTTGTCAGACAAGAAACCCCTTGAAATGCATTTCTGGAGATAGTGTCTCTTTGGCATTTTGGATTTCTATCCCTTAGCTGCTTGTTTCCCGACACTGCTTTCAGTACAGAAGAAGCTGTGGTTTTTAATTTCATTTAGCACGAATTGTTTTATAATGTATTTTACATGTTACACTCTGGAGCGCAGCAGCTTTGGAAAGCAAAAGCTGCCTGTGAGGGCTGAGCCAGCTGCACTCTGCCCCAGCAGAAAAGGGGGTGAACTGGCTTTGTCTGTTCCCAAACGCACTCTCCAGCCAGAGGATGTGGCCAGACTCAGCTCCAGGGGTCCAGAGGAGGAAAAGCCAGAGACTCAACAAGGGAGGCCAGTCAATAGTCACATCCTCCATCCTGCCCACCCCTGGGGTCTTCCTGCCCGCTGCAGCCCCCGTCCTGCCCAGGGCTGCTCCGGGAGGGCTGGCACGGCTCACGGGCAGCCTCCCTGCCCTGCCCGGAGCTGGCCTTGCCTCCCCGAGCTGCCTCCCGCCCGGCCAGGGCTGGGCAGGGGGCACGGGCACTGCCTGGGCACGTCCCTGCCCCAGCTCGGGTCAGGAACTGCCCCCAGCGGGGAAAAGGCTCTCAGCAGATCCAGGGAGACAGGAAACATCTGCACTGTCCCAGCTGGCGGGTGCTCTGCAAACACAGGATGTGTCCATGAGACAGCCCATTTCCCCAGGCGGGCTGTGCTCAGGTGGGACACGTGCAGCCCCACCAGCTCTGCTCCACCAGCTCCTGCCCAGCCCCACCAGCTCTGCTCCACCAGCTCCTGCCCAGCCCCACCAGCTCTGCTCCACCAGCTCCTGCCCATCCCCACCAGCTCTGCTCCAGCTCCTCTCCATCCCCACCATCTTCTCTTCAGCTCTGGGCAGGTCTGGGCTCTGCCGATTCCTTCCTTGGGGGTTGTGGGTGATGATGGACAGAGGTTCCCTCTTCTCCTGCATGGGCAGAGACCCCACAGCTGGTGTCCCACAGCACTGAGAGCCCTGCCCAGCTGCTTTGGGCCACGATGAGACAGCAAAGGCTGCTGCAGCCTCTGGAGCTGAAATGATGCATCACAAAAAGCTCTGAACTTGTTTC